ACAACAAAAACCTCAATGGTATCTTCATAGACATTTTGTCTCATTTTTCTTCATTTGGGTGTTTTGTTTTATTGGTCATTCGACTTAACATATTTTGGTTTTTATTCTGTGTTTTGTGGGTATCTATTTTTGCCAATCTATTTCTTGTTTGTTTTTGTCTGCTGTTTGTGTTTTAATGAGAGAGTGATAAAAAGAGAGAGGGCATGAAGTTACATGGATGGAGATGTTGAAATGATATAGGAAAAGCTGGGGGAGATGAAAGAAGTGATCAGAATATAATATTATATGAAAAGTTATTTTCAATTAAGAAAAATGAAGCCTGAAAAAGAAGACTGAAAAAGCTTTGATCAACAGGGTATCTCAATGAGCTTCATCTTCGGAAATCACAAAAATTATACATGAGTAACACGTCATTGCCCAGTGTCCCAGACACCAACCCTAAAGTCAACAATCATATTGTTAATTAACTTTTCTGAGTTCTGAACAAATAGAAGACTATTGAAGTCCAGGTGATAGCTACATCCATTTGTGGCTCTTGCTTCCAGGATGCATCCACAGTATGTTAAGGTCACTGTCACTTGTCCCACTATTTTCCTTCCCAAATTACTGCTAAAATGCATTGTGTTGTCTGTAAAATTAATAGGTGATTTTTAAAATATGCTAAGTGTTATAGCTAACTTTGTATTGCTATGATAAAACACTATGTCTAAAGCAACTTGCAGAAGAAAGAGATTGTTTAGGGTTTACGCTTTCGGAAGGTTAGAGTCCATGACCATCATCGTGGCAGCAAGTAGGCAGACATGATTCTAGAGTGGCAGCTGAGAGCTTGCAGTGTGCTGTACAAACAGGAAGAAGTGTAATAGATCAGGCAAGAGGAATGGCACCGATCTTTTGAAACCTCAAAAAACTGACACCCCCCCCCCACAGTGACACAATTTTCCCAACAAGTCCAGACCTTCTAATCCTTCCTAAAGAATTCCTTCAACTAGGGACTGGCACAGCCATATCTGTGGGAAACAC